ATTTAATACTTTAAAGGAAATTAAATGATTTCTGTACCTAGCCTGATTCACATAAAAATCAATACTTTATATGATGTTAAGACCCAGATATTACTATTAGGACACTGAGAGATCGAACATCACTTTCCACAATAGGAAGGATCCCTTCCACCCCATATCTTGACACTGTCAAGGTGGGAAACATCATAGTTTTTTCTGATTCCACTATTCCTGCTCTTTTCTCTTTATATACATGCCAAAGCAATGTCCTCTGTCCTCATGAATCTATCATCACTAGATCTATTCACTGACCACTGCATTTTCTCCATTACTCCTCTCTCACTCCATCTCTCATACAACTTTGGATTTCCTGGTTGATATCCAAGAATGCACCCTTCTTAATGTCAATCAAGAATGAGGCTGCTTAAAACAAGATGTAGCTGCTCATCTTCATTTCACAATCCTCCCCCAAGGGCCAGTTAGTTAATCAATCATAGTGAGCATTTATCTCATTTCTGAAGCGAGGGAATTCAGAACAGTCCAACTCATCACCATCCTTTTCTTCACAGCAGCCCGTAATCAAATCCTGATGCTTGATTCTTTGCAAAAGTCCTTATTGTCATCTCTTTATTTTCTACTTTTCTCCTAGATTAGACCCTCATCATTTCACAATTGGACCAAGGCCAACTACTCTTCCCTGGCCTCCTCATGTCTACCCCACATCCACCTACCTAACACATTCATTCAGAAGTTGAAACATGTTAAATTATTTTCTAAAAATTCATTAGCTGTTTAAAGTTACAACTTTTACAATCAGCTTAAATTATATTATTCCACAGGCATATTTCAGAGACATTGCAGGTTCCATTCCAGATCTCCACAATGAAGCAAATACTGCAATAAAGTGAGTTACATGAATTTTTTGGTTTTCTAGTACACATAAAACTATATTTACACTATACTGTTGTCTATCAAGTGTGCAACAGCATTAAGTCTAAAAATGTATGTATTTTCATTTAAAATACTGTATTGTAAGAAAGAAAAAAAAAAGCTAACCATCATCTGAGTCTGTTGGAAAAACAGTGCCAATAGATTTGCTCAATGCCAGGTTGCCACAAACTTTCAATTTATAAAAAAATTCAGTATCTGGGAAGCACAATATAATGAAGCACAATAAGAGAAAGTATGCCTATATTTGTACACTTAGAAAATTTAAATGTTTCCCCTTTTTTATTCTCATAAGAAAATTTCAAACATGCTGAAATATCTGATACTACAACGATCTTATTTATATATCCACTTCTCAGAGTAAACAATTGCTATAATTTTGCAATATCTGTGAGTAAATGCATTTGAGATAAACTATAGACATAGTGGCATTTTACCCTAAATTTTTCATTTATCTTTCAAAAACAAAAACACTGTCCTACAAAGCCTAATACCTTTATCACACCTAAAAATTAATAATTTCAAAATATCATCTAGTATCTAGTCTACATTAAATTTCCCCAATTGTTCCCCAAATATCTTCTAGAAGTGGGTTGACTTTGGTTGTTGTGACTCTTTAGTTTCTTTCTAGAAAAGTTATTCTATTTTTTCCCCCATTGTATGATTTTTCTTAAGAAACCAGGCAATCATATCCTATATTATGAATCTGCCCGATGGGAATGAGTAGGGGTTATATTTTTAGCTTGTTTCTTTGCCCTCATTACACCCTATAAGCTGGAGTTAGGTGTAAAAGCTTAGTTAGACTCAGGTGAAACACTTTCGGCACCGTTAGTTTTAGGGTGATATGCAAACTTCATACTGGATCACATCAGGAGGCGCATGAGGTCGGTTGTCCCATGTGTTATCATTCCGAGTTTGATCACTTGATCAAGGGGGCTTCCCGCTATTCTGCTTTGACACCAGCTCATTCCAATGGTCCTGTGCCTCGGGTTTAAGAGGCTTCATGCTGTGCAAACATCTGCCAGGAATCCTGAGCCAGCTCCCATCTCCAGGCTTCTTCCTCACCCATTTCTTGCCAAGTTCTCTTTCCTCAGTTTCATTATCCTCCCCCTTTTCTCTGTGACTTTGGCTTCCTAACCAACTGCCCATTTTTCTCCACCACCCAAGCAATTCATGAAACTCTGGTCTACAAAGCTTCCTAGAACTTAAACACATTGATCACAGTTCATGCTGTTTTCTCCTCCCCAAGCCTACTGCCTAATTATTAGAATGTGCAATAGAAACAAGAGCTATTTCTGCCAAATTTGTTTTGTGTATATGCCCTCTTATGGTAGCACATATACATAGATGCTTACTGATAAACTCCATGGCATTAAAAGTCTCAATAGTCGAAATCTGCAGCTAATAAAACTATTCCCATGAACAAAGCACTAGTGAGCATGATTGCAGCTGTTTTTACCACTCATTTAGAACACCTTTTTTTAATATATATTTTTAATTGGTTTCAGAAAGTAAGGGAGAGGGAGAGAAAGGTAGAAATAGCAAGGATGAAAGAGAATCACTGATCAGCTGCCTCCTGCACACCCCCTTCTAGGGATTGAGCCTGAAACCCGGGCATGTATCCTGACCGGGAATCAAACTTTGATCTCCTGGTTCATAGGTTGATGCTCAACCATTGAGCCACACAGGCCTGGCTTTACCATTCATATAAAATCTATCTATACCTCCCTCTGTAGCTTGGTATGCAAACCAACCATAGCAAGAAAGCACAAATATTTTCAAACATCTTTGTAGGATAGATACATCTTATATACTAGCAACTATTTGCCAATAATGTATTTTTTTTCCAAGAATGTCCATTGTTATTTTCTATAATTTAGATCGTCCTAATTGCACTAATTAATCTGGCTATCATAGACATCCAGCAGGAGACAAATATATACTAAGAACACTTTCTAAACCAGGTCTTATTTTGAAGCTGCATATTAGTGACCACACCTGCAAAAAGAATTAAGACTCGAGATCACTGTCTGGATCATTCAGACCGAATGCCAGAGAGCCATGCAGATAAAGCAAAAGTATTCTACGGAGTTTGAATTATTTGGGTAACTCCAGCAATTAGCCAATTCATTTTAATTATATGGCACAGCTTAGGCTGAAAAGTAAATAACGTTTTAATCTTTTTTTTTTTTTTAGTGAGCACATTTCAGCCTAATATTGCACAAGAATAACAAGTTTGTGAATACTTCATTTTCTTGCTTTTTATCATCTGTGTTCCAACTTGGAAACGGGAGAGAGGTACTGGGCACAGAATTTTAAAAGGATCTGTTTTTTCCTTCCTCAGAACCAACCTGAGGTGAAATGACTAAACAATGCAAATGGCACCAAATTCACCCTCTCTCTCCAAAGCTGGTCCAGGGCAGAATGTGTGGAGTGCATGAGGTATACCTTCAGCCTCACTCACTGCCCCTATAAAAAGCTGCTCTTAGCACACGAACCCAGACTTGACTTCAAAGCTAAACTTAAATTAATGCTGTTCCTTCTCCCCAAAAAGTATTTACTTAAATGTGGTCTCCAAGAGCTGTAGCAGGTTTAGGAGGCATTTCAAGTACCTGCAGGCTACACCTCTTAACCGGCAACTACCACTACACAACGAAGACTGTGTTTGGGAAGATGAGCCTTCCCTGCCTTAGTGAAGCGGCATGACATAATCACTGACTATGATTAAGTTTGAAACTATGGGTAGAGGAGCATCTTCTCAGCTAGCATTTGCATAGTTCTATAACATTTGCAAAACAGGGCTCAAATTACCTTAGTCTAATCTTATCAAAGCCCAATATTCTTGTCTCCACCTTACAGATAACAAGGCTGAGGCCCTGCTACCAAGGTCTGGGCCCACGGCAACTGCCAAGATCGTCTAACTCCCCATGGGTGCTCTTTCCATTCGGGTCCACAACCCAGTGTCGCCTTCTCCTGGTAGAGTTATCACCTTTCTGGGCCCATGGCAACAGCCAAGATCGTCTAACTCCCCATGGGTGCTCTTTCCATTCGGGTCCACAACCCACTGTCGCCTTCTCATGGTAGAGTTATCACCTTTCTCCTCAGGGAGAAAGGTGATAACTCTACCATGGACTGGCCCAAAACCTGAAAGTATTTTCCAGGTTTCTAAAGCAACAACAATTGATTCTTATGACCCCCAAATATTTCACACACACAGTATTCTTTCACTATTCAGGTAAGAAGAGAGACATAATAAATTCACCCCACTTACTCTCCTCATGAGGGGCTGAAACCATGATCAAAGGGCAGGAGGAGAACCACAGGACGAGGCTATGTCATAACCACACAATCCCAAAGCAGTCAGCACTGAGCGGTTTGGGTAACAGAGCCAACGTTTTTGTCGCCTTCATTAAGCACGTTCAATGATGAGTTTTAAAGGAAAATCCGCCTCCCTTGTACTTTACGATACGGATATAGGCCTAAAGTTCTATGTAAATCCAGTGGGGTTTAAAATGCGTGTCAAACATCTCCGTCATTACCAATCTAGTTAGGAGTTTTTAGAAAGAAAAATAAAAGGTCACAAATTATTACTGTGTGATGGGTTCAAACCCAACTACATCTATTAATCTGCCAAAAGGCATAAATAAGTATTTTCAAAGCTTTTGCAGAATATATCTCAAGCCTGACGCATGTTTTACACACAGATCAACTTAACCGGAAAACAGGAAGGGCAGTCAGGGAGGCCCAGCAGCATTTCTGGAAGGCCACTACTTAAACATTATCTTACAGAGCAGAGGATGGAAAGCTTTTTCTGTAAACCAGATTTTAGGCTTTGCAGATCATACAATCTCACTGACCGAGCCATTCTACCATCAAACGCATGAAAGCAGAGCAGGCAATATGCAAATGAATGGATGTGGCTGCGTCCCCAATGAAACTTTATTTACAAAAACGGGCCCAAGAGTCAGTTGGCCAAGCCCGTCTATAGAAAGTCATTTTACCACATCTGTTTTTCCCGGGAAAATGAGACTTTTCTAGAAAGCACTGCTGAAACAGGCTGGGCAGTTGCTTACCTGGGACCCGACGGTTTCCTGGAAGCAGCGGCCGAGCTGGGTCTTGGCAGCCACAGGATAGATGTGAGGAATGACTTGCTGGTGGGAGTACGTGGAGTGGATGGTCTGGGTCTTCTGGACGGGCAGCCCTTGGTAAGAGATCTGGGGTTGGCCTGGCTGGGCTTCTTTTACCTTCTGGCCAGTGGGGCCTTCGATTCTTGAAACCTGATGGATCTGGACTGAGGCCTCCGGGGGGTGCTTCACGTGGATATTGACTATGTTGGGAGGAAATTTTACTGAAATAGATTGGGAATAAAGACTTATTAATCATGACTAATTAGCATGCGAGTCAGCGTGAAAGTCAATTTTACACACATATGTGCTTATACGCATATGTATTATACATAGGATAAATTATACAAATGTAATGTATGTATGTGAGTGTGTGTGTGTGTGAGTGTGTGTGTGTGTGTGTGTGTGTGTGTATATATACACACATACTGAGTGGCCAGATTATTATGATCTCTGAATGCATAATAATCTGGCCACTCAGTGCGTGTATATATATATATATATATATATATATATATATATATATATATATATATTTTAGAGGCCCAGTGTATGAATGTGTACATGAGTGGGGTCCGGCCAGCCTGGCCAGGGGAGGGGACATGTGCGGTTAGCTGGCCTGCCTGCTGGTCGAACTCCTGGGCGAGGGGACAATTTGCATATCAGCCTTTTATTTTATAGGATATACACTGAGTGGCCAGATTATTATGAGTTCAGAGATCATAATTATATGGCCACTCAATGTATATTTGCCACACAGCCATCATAATAAGTGAGAAAAAAATATATTAAAAATAGAAATTAAATCTGAATTTATGGTTTAAAAAAATCAACTAATTACAAAGAGAAATTACAACCTCTCACAGTAACATATTCAGTAAGATCATTTTTTTCAGGTGAGTCATAAAAATATGAAATTCATGCAGCTTATGGGGAGGTACATTTTATTAAATAATAGTAGTAAAGACTCAAAAGCTGGATTACTTTTGAATTTCTCCTTTAAGTTCCTATTGCAAAGTTGTGGGACATACTTTTTCTACACTGAAAGAGAAAACACAGTTTCATAGAGCACAATTCTCTTGCCCTTAAATAGCATAGCGTGGATATACTTTCAGTGGGACACACACCTAAAATACCCAAGTGTGCTATTTTATGTCTGTACCAAAACTCACTTTCGGCCACTTTCAAACACCATTTCATCTTCTCATGCTAATGTTCAGGTTTTAAAGAATAACAGCCAGTCACACTCTCTGACCCCTTTTTAAAAAACAGTGCACGTCTAAGAGATGCCAGGTTTGAAAGAATGAGTGAGTCACAGAATTCCTGAGCTCCGAGTGACCTAGTTTACCTTCCTCCTCAGAAGAATCTACAGAAGCCCGGGGAGGTTAAGTGATCCTTTAGGACTAAAACCAGGCACTCTTCAACTATTAACCAGACCGGTGCTCATCAGCAGGACCGGTGTGGTCACTAGCTCATTAACGCTGTAAGGGCCCAAAATCACCAACTCGTCTTTCCACACCCCAGACCCGGCCAGGACAGGGCCGGGCACATTCATCAGCTCTGGGTGCTGTGAGTCATCAGAGAAGGTTAGACTCCTTTTTGTTTTCTATTTCTTAGATACCAAATCTCTATGGCCTAGAAAGCACTCCAGCCCCATACCTGGGCCCGCATGATGTCCCTACTATCATTTCTCAAGCCACAGATCACACACCCCTTTCTGTTTCAATGCCAGCCCCGGCCACCTGCAGGTACCTAGCTTCTGTGGGTTTGGCAGGCTAGCAGAGGTCTGACGAACGGGAAAAAATCAAAATCTTAAGCTTACCTTTGACTCCTTGCTGACTGGTCATCGTCAGAGGCAAGGTATGTGTCGAGTGGACGACATGCGTTCCCAGCGCCTTCCCCGACTGCTGGGAATGCTGGTAAAGTTTAGGAACGCTGGCACCATGGACTGGAATCTGGCAAAGCTTCCCTGTGAAGTTTGGAGGGCACTGGCATTTGTCCCTTGAGCTGCACTGGCCACCATTCATGCATGGAAGATGGCAAATGACTGAAAGGGAAAAAAGAGAAATTGTGGAGAATTGGTTAGTTTCTCAAATACTAAAACACAGTCAACCAACAAAACTTCCAGAAACACCATTATAGCCATCGTATTTCCACTGAAGCAGTAAACAAAGAAGTAACTACGTTGGGGGGGGGGAGGAGGAGTCTCTTTATTCACGATCTTTGTTTTTCCATCCTATGTCATCTAATTCTCCAGTTCCTTGCAGTCCTCTCCCCTCCCCTAATAATGGAGAGAATTCATGGGGAAAGAATATGTAAAAGGAGCCAGTGAGGATTATTGTCTCACAGTGCCCTTTTGAGTATCTCTCGCATTCTGTAATTACTTTTTCCTATTCAATTCCTAGTTTATTAGCTGTTTCTCTAGAGTATAAACTCTTGAGAAAAAGGATATGTCTGGCTTAGTAACCTTTACATTCTCAGCACCTAGAATAATGCCTGGTACACCGTGGACATTAAACATTTCCTGAAAGAATAAACAAATGAGAATACTAAAAATAATATCAGCTGAGACTGTAATGTACTGAATAAGGGAGTAGAAGAGTTTGGATCTTGCTTCCCAGAATTTGCCATCTCACTGGGATAACAAGACCACAGGGAAACCTAGACACAGACTAATTAGTAGTCTGGAATTTAATTTATTTAGAATACCAACAGATAAAAGGGCTCCCTGGGTAAGGAATTTTCAGAGGTGTTTCAAATTCTGATGAAATTCAACTTATGGCCAACCTCTTTATCACTGATGAGTTCTTCCTATCAGCCTTTAAACATGAAATTTCCACCAGCTTAAAAAACAAAACCCTTCTACTCCATTTCCTTCCATGATCATAATTCCCAAAGGAATTGTCTGTTCACTTTTCCACACACTCCCTTTCCCCGCCCCTCTTCTATGGAAATTACTCTTACTGAGGTCACCAAACTCAAACGGACAATTTCAGTCTTCCTTTGGTTTCTATGACATCTCACTCATCTATGTTGATCCTTCCTCTTTACCCATTCCATCTTAAGATTCTTTACAGAATCTACTCTTGCCCTTTAAACACTGATATGCTTTAATATTTGGCCTTCAAATCCTTTCTTTTACTATCCTACACACTCTTGCTCTATGATTTCAACCTGTCATATGTAAAAACTCCCAAATTTCTATGTCCTAAGAAGAGATTTCTACTGTGCTCCAAATTACTACTGCACATTTTCATCTCAAACTCAGCATGTCCAAAACTAACTCATCATCTTCTCTCTGATGTCTCCATTCACTGAGGGAGTGGTCCCTAACTGAAACCTGAGTGCAGCTCCTTCACTTGGCCCACCCATACTCCCAATCCTGGAAGCCCTCCCTTCTCAACATCCATCAAATGCGTGCACTTCTTTCCCATCACAGGGCCCCTGTTCCCTCTGAAACCTCATCACTTATGAGTCTCACCTCATTCCCTACGATCCAGCTACCTGGAGCTTTATCCACTTCCTCCTTGTGAAAGGCCCTGTTGCCCCCTAAAGCTTTAGCCATGCTGGGTCCTCGTTCCATTCAGCCCCCTCACCCATCGAACTCCTACTTATCTTTCAGACTCTGCTGAAACCTCACATCTTCTAGAAGCATTGGCTATTGCCCCTCATCTCGGTTTGATGCCTATCGAGGCCTCCAGGGACTCTCATTCACTGCCCATCCTGCCACTTAGCTGAGTGCCTCATGGCTTTCCTGTATGCCTCATTCAACGAGAGCTCGGTGAGGTCAGAGACCTCATCTTTTGTTTACCCCCAACACGCAACTCAGCTTCTAGAAGAAATGCCGCAGCTCAAAAGAAGCACTGGCTGAGAAATGTATGCCTACCACTCAGTCAAATACCATCGTAGGTGCTACAGGAGATCTGTTCCCTGCCCTCAAGACCGTAAGCACTAACCGGGGAGATTAGATAATATATGCTAACTAAAAACACAGACCACCAAATATGTGACAGTTGGAAAATATACACTTGAAAGTGTGTGGAACTTCAGAGAAGGGGGGAGTTATTTCTGGGAAACCAAAGTGGACACAATGGGGTAAGTCTCTGAAACTGGGCAAGATTCCGAAAAACAGTGGATTGCATCCTAGAAGGACAGTCTGTGAAAGGGACGGGAGGCAGGCGTATTTGGGAGATAAGGAGGACATCTTCTGTTGAAACCTCAGGTTCCTCTCGGGGAGGGGTTGAGTGATAAACGAGAAGGTAGAGGCTTGGGTCAGCCAATGGGTTAAGGCCCAAGAAAACTGGGGTTTTATTTTGGAAACTCCAAGGAGAGAACTAAACAAGGCTGAGAGAGCGTTCCAAGAGGATGACTTGTGATGGATTAGTTGGGATGGAGAGTGACTAGGTGGAGAAGCCAGTGAGGAGACCATTAAAACACAAGCTGAAAAACACATGGATCAGGACGATGGCAACCAGAGTTGAAAGAAACACGAAGCGCTACAATGACAGAGGGAGAATCAGTGCAACATGAAGATGGGACACAGCAAGCCAAGGCGGAGCTGAGACAGTGGAGGAGGAAGGGGAGCCAAAAAAAAAAATGACCAAGGGCAAGAGACTGTGTCCCAGCATCTATGTGGCGGTTCCAGCCAAAACTGCCCTTGCCGGCTGGGATCTGAAGTAAGCTTTCTCCATGCCAGTGTCCTCTGAGGTGCCGGGTGAGAGAAGGGACTCCAAGTGGACTCCAAGGTTGAGTCAAAGACTTCATAACTCTCACGTCAACTCTGAACCAAATTTCTAAATCGCAGCTTGGCTATCCAGGATGGATTCAATGTGTCACGGGCAAGGGAAGCCAGGCCAAGATAGAAATGTACTACAAATAATTTATAACCGGAATACAGGCACCACTCACTCTGCATGGTTCCAATATGCATGAATTTCAGTTTCTGCAGTCTAGTTAAATAACACCAGTCCCCCAGCAGTATGGTTCAAAACGTTGGTTGCCACAGTATATTAACTGTGAGTAATTGCATGAAGCACAAACTTCACTGCTAGCTCTTTGGTCCACAAACACTGCGTGGGTAACAGATGTGTACGGTGATCGGTAACCAATCACGTCCCTTCCTTCAAAGCCTGCTGGGGATGGGTCCCTGCACATCTGTTCTCAGTTCACACACAGACAGGAAAGCATGTCGTGGTGTTGCTTCCTCATCGCACGGGGATAAAATCAATAACATCTCACAGACGTGGATAATTAAAAGGGTCAACGACAAAACGTGCCTCAAAAAAAAAAATGACAGGCAGTTAACATTGGAAGTGAAATTGGAAAGCGGGTGTGGTGAAAAGGATGATGATGTGCCAGAGGAAGCGGCATTAAAGGAACCCCCGGGCAGCTCTGAAAGCACGAAGGGTAAGATGCTGGCGGCCGATTCAGACATAGAGAGCAGTATGACAACCGACAAAGGCAAAGAAAAATACTCCATATCATGTCATAGAGTGAGAAGAAAGCAAACATGTTCTAACTACTCTTTTTTTTTTTTAATTATTTTGTTGGTTTTTTACAGAGAGGAGAAGAGAGGGATAGAGAGTTATAAACATCGATCAGAGAGAAACATCGACCAGCTGACTCTTGCACACCCCCTACCGGGGATGTGTCCTCAACCAATGTACAGGCCCTTGAATGGAATCGAACCTGGGACCTTTCAGTCCGCAGACCGACGCTCTACCACTGAGCCAAACCAGTTTCGGCTGTTCTAACTACTCTTGATGAGGTCTACTCAAAGAAACAAAGCACTTTCATTCCCAGCGTTTCTAACATTTTTTATTACAGGGCACTAATTAAATACTAGCTCTACTATAATATTTTTTCCCCCATTTCCCTCTACATTTATCACCTACAGTAAAAGAGCTTTAATAAAAACTTCTTCAAGGTCATGGAACTTAATAATTCATTGATTAATAAGATCATCTTGCACATGGCCATTTTGCATTAGCTTGCATGATCATTGTCATGGTCCTGTACTACTATGCAAAGAGGACTATGTAATCTATACCAAAATGACTTCACGTATGCAACCACCTTTTTTAAAAACAAAAAGCAACTGACTGTTACTAGATATTTCTAGTATCAATAGATTCTGAAATCAAACTCAAATTTAATCAGTTTTGTTGAAATCTACCTTTAAACCCAAGATAGCTTCCACCCAAATGTTTCAAGGGCTGCCCGAGTCTGCATGGACACAGCCACAAACCCAGAAGGGAATTCCATGACCCATGTTTTTCTGCTCAGATAGGAAACAGTGTCTGCTTAACTTATTCCAATCAATAAAAGGCCACTAATGATAATCGCTATGAATGAAGTAAATATGTATTCTACTGTTCTAGCATCTTTTAAAAAATCTAAACTACAATATAAAGTTCTTTGCTTCGGTTCAATAAATGCACATTGAATCCTTTGTAGCAGGTGGTCTTTTTATAGCTACTAAATAGTCTTTGATATTAAAAAAAAAACAAAAACCTGAAAATCAACCTACAAACTTAAGGATTGAACTAGGAATGGTTTCTTTCTGTTTCAAAAGTTCATGCTTTGACCTTTTGCCTAGTCATCTATAGTCTGTGTTGCCAGAGGAAGAGGAGTAAGTTCTCTTTAAGACCGACTTGGGAAGTTTGTGGTATGCTGGCTGTAAATCTAGCTATGGCACATATATTTTAGTACATGTAACTAGAGTGGTCACACAGAATGCTGGCTGAGAAAGCCTATAACTTTATCAGCTTGCTATTTAGCGAGCCATCCCCATCACTCACTACATTGCATGCTCGGTCATCTGGGACCTACTGAAAATAACAAGAAGTCTATGGGCCTCCAGCGGGTTATTCTAGAAAGTATCATTTCATCCCCGCCACTCAACGCATCTCACAGCCCTGCTATAAAAGGTCAACACCAGCGGAAGGATCCACGCTGGGGGTTTTAAATACGTCCAGTGCTTCTGTGCGTCCCACCATTCGCTCTGGTCTATAAAACAGTTTGCAGCATTCCAGAAACTGGGCTGAC